AGGCACTACATATCACCCACTCAAGATGATTGGGATGAGCATTTGCCACTGATTGAGTTTGTCATAAACAACTCAAAACAGAAGGCAACGGGGACAACTCCGTTTTCCCTGAATGGTGTTCGACAACCACGTGTGCCGGTTGACCTTCACCTCAAAACTAAGGTGCCTGCCGCTCAGAAGCAAGAAGCGATGCTTCGTGAGCGTATAAGCAAAGCTAAAAAGTGTCTCTTGGCTGCGCAACAAGTCCAAAAGGACGACGCCGACATGCATAGGCGTCCCGTGCGTTACGAGGTTGGGCAGAAAGTGCTGTTATCTACCAAAAATATTACATTAAAAACCCCTGGAACCAAGAAGCTGATGCCTAAGTTCATCGGCCCATACACGGTTGTCGCTCGCGTGGGCGAAGCTGCGGTAAAACTGGACTTACCGGCGGCCTCCTGCCTACACCCGGTCTTCCACGTCTCTTTGTTGAAATTGTACAAAGAAGACGTTAAGCGACAGCCACCGGCGCCACTCGTCATTGAGGGTGAGCCATATTTTATGGTCGAAGCCATTGTCGACCATCGTGATGTTTCAGTCCGAGGGGGACGTGGAAAAACATGTCGAGAGTATTTGATTAAATGGGAAGGTTACGACTCTAGTCATAATACCTATGAACCAGAGGAATCCCTTCGCCAGTCTACCCCCTTGGCTGAATCCATCGACGAATATGAACACCAACTGGCGTCTAAGAAACACCCTCAAGCCCTGGAAAAACCCAAAGGACGGAAATCTTCTAAGAAGAAGTGACGCTCCCGGGACGGTTCGCTTCAGAGGGGGGAGACTGTAGCAAGCTACATTTCCCTTAGAATATTTTAACGACTACTTTTAACAATAACTGTTAATTTGTTAAACGATCTGACTCAAGTTTCGTACATGTTCCGAGTTTCGTCACATGTCGCGAACTGGGCAGCTGTTAGTAAGCGAATCTAACGGGATGGGGCCCCGGGCCCCACCAACATTATCCTAGTACGGCAAGGTCCGTAGTAGAGATTATCCGGCAGGTAGNCCGAGATATAAGCTACCCGGGCGGGGTGTTCTGGCCAGACACTGACGTATCACATTACTAGGTGTTCGGAGTTCAAGACTCCGCTGCCGCCGTCTCTAACCGTTACATACACATCTTATGTACGCTAGTGCTTGCCGCTTGGTTGGACTTCTTCCTACATCGACGAGGACTAATAACTCCACGCTTCCGCTCTGTCAGTCCTCCCGTCAGGTGAGCGACTGCTACACCCTGACTGGGTATGCAAGATCCAAGATACCGTCCTGGCTAGTAGTCTGGATCATAAAGAGTAATGTGCTGTGCAAAGCCCCGCATAACAGCCCCGCACGGCATGCCTTGTGCCTGTGCTTGATGATATTGGATTCCCCCCAACAGCCAACTGGAGTTGCACACCTGCACCCAGTTCCAAGCATGTGATCTCATTCCAGCATTGCAGGCACCTGGACGAGCGGCCAACCTGTCGCAGTGCACCGCAGCAAGAGGACTTCGCCCAGGGCCTGTTGACATCACCCAGTTTCGATCTGGGGACCTCCTGTGTGTGAGACAGATGTGATTCCACTACACCATGATGTCGAAGCTAGGCACAGCACGCCCCAGCATCCGCTCTCCGGCGCCCTAGCCTTACACAACATCACGCACACCCACTTACACACTCTTACACACACAGGCACAGGCACAGGCGTCATGTTTCACGCACAGCGTACACCGCCACACCCAGCTGTGCCCGTGCAGCAGGCCTCAGTCCTGCTCGCTCCTAATTAGCCGCTACTTCTGCATGAATGCGGCATCATCAAGGCCGCCGCATGCATACATACATTTCGTTGACGCGAGAGCATGTTTGCACTTGCCCCCTTACACACGCTCCTTATGTAAGGAGCCCTAGTGCGGCCTGGCAGTATGTAGATGCAATCTGGAGAACCCCAAGCAACCAGACGCTTTCTCCAGCCCAATACAATATTCTGGCTCCTATTAAAGGGAAAGAAACCCGATTGCAGCTGGTTGTATCATCCATCCAGCTCCCTGCATGTCTGTTGGACCATGACCATCTTGCAGTTCCACAGCCGCAAACTCAAACGGTATGCATGGACTCCCAGCCGGTGGCTGAGCCTGCATGCCACGCAAGGTGATGATGGCAGCACAGCTAAGGCTTGGTACGTACCTGTATGCATGGCATGGGGATCGTGGGTGGAGGATACACCTGCCGGTGCAGGATTACACATGGCTCCCTGACTGGGTATGCAAGATCCAAGATACCGTCCTGGCTAGTAGTCTGGATCATAAAGAGTAATGTGCTGTGCAAAGCCCCGCATAACAGCCCCGCACGGCATGCCTTGTGCCTGTGCTTGATGATATTGGATTCCCCCCAACAGCCAACTGGAGTTGCACACCTGCACCCAGTTCCAAGCATGTGATCTCATTCCAGCATTGCAGGCACCTGGACGAGCGGCCAACCTGTCGCAGTGCACCGCAGCAAGAGAACTGCGCCCAGGGCCTGTTGACATCACCCAGTTTCGATCTGGG